CAGAGGCCTCTTTAAACCAGCCATCCCCAACCTTGTTGGCACCAGGGACCGGTGCTCCTATGAGAATCTAATGCCTGATGATCTGAGGTGGAGCTGAGGTGGTGATGCTGGGGAGCGGCTGCAAATACAGATGAAGCTTCGCTTGCTCACCCGCCGCTTACCTCCTGCTGTGAGGCCTGGTTCGTAACAGGCTCCATGGCCAGGGGACTGGGGACCCCTGCTTTAAACCAAGGAGAGAATCAGCCTCCCGGGACCATAGGGAGGGGAGAATGAAGTAAAGCATGTGACTGACTGTCCCCTAATGTGGAAGGTCAGCAGTAACTGAGAGGGGCAAGAAGCAATCTAGCCAGACCTGGCTCTCCCTCCTGGTGCCAGGCCCTGAACTTCTCTGAATTTCAGTTTCCTCATTAAAGGGAGCCGACGCATCCCTGCCCAGTCACGCCCCCTCCCAGGGCTGTTGCGAGATGAGATCAGGGATGTGAAATGAAGAAGGACCCTGGCTTGGAATAGACATAGGAAGCGGCCCTGCGGGGGTGGGCACAGAGATGACAAATTTAGCAGAAATTACATTCTCAGGAGGAGAATCCAGAACTGGCCTTCGAGGTGGCGATGACGGGTGATTGGGCATGGTGCAGTGAGTGCCACGATGAGGTACCAGGGAGTGGGTGGGGGTGAGGAGCAGCCCCCAGGACGTGGGGGTGTATCAGGTTTTGCCCATTGCTGGATCATTAGCACCTGGGAGTGACTGCCACAGAGCTGGGGCAAATAAAAATTTGTTGAGTGAATAAATGACTCATGGTGGGCATGTCTGTGGAGAAGATTGCAGGTGAGAACAGCCTTAGTGGTCACGATGGGTCCCGGGGGTGGGGATAGGGAGGGCATCTGGCCCTGGTCACCTCAGTTTTTCTAGGCCAGGTTCCACAGGCCCAGTTCTCTCCTCATCTAAAGCAGCGCCCAAACCCCTGGCATCCTAGCCTTCTGACATCCTCCTCCCTGCCAGGCTCCTGAGGGTGCAGGCTAATGACGCTCTTTCAGGCCCGGTAGGTGTGCTGGGGACACCGGGCATGACCTGCAGGCCTGGGGTGGCCCCTTTACCACCTCGTCCACACTTGCCTAGGTCTCAGTTTACCCCACGGTGAAGTAGCTGGTTGACTAGGGAGGCGTTGTCTCTAGGACCCCTTTGTTCTGATGTTCAGAGGTCTGGGCGATGCAGAGGACCAACCCATGATCACTATCTTTCAAAGAAAGTGAAACCTGGTCCCTAACCGTCACCAAGGCGACTCCCCCTCCCTGGCTTCCCCTCTGAGCTCACAGCTTCCCCATCTCACACCCCCAGTACCTAGTACTTGGAATCAGACTTACACCTTTCCTTTTTCCTTTGGAGGATTTTTACCTTTTATGTCCATGATGGCAGCAGCCCTGTGAGGCAGGCTGAGAAATACTTTTCTAATTCTCATTTTATAGGTGGGGCCTCTGAGGCCCAGAGAGATTAAGCAACTTGCCTCAGATCACACAGCTTATCAGTGGGCCTGAGCCCTGATCTCCTGTTTCTCTTGTTCCAAGTGCCTGGTTTTCCTCAGCTGCCTGTAGAGAGAGGGACTGGCTGCATCAAAGGGCCTGGAATGGGAAAGGCTGGTTGTGTGGAAGGTGCATGGTGGGGAAAGGAGACAGCCAGGAGCCCCACTGGGGGATGCAGTTCCTAGGGCCAGAACCACAATCTCGGGGCTGCCAGCTTGGGTCTGGCTCCGTGCCCAGAGCCCAGTGGTTTCCGCTTACAGATGTCCCAACAGCCCCAGCAAGAGGGCGGGAAGGGCACTCAAGAAGGAAGATGTCTCGCTCCCCTCCGCCACAAACCATAGTGGCCTGTGAGGCCCATGGCTCCTGGGCTGAGACACCTGTGGGCCATCAAAGGGCTGGGCTGGCGGATTTTCCCCTCTATCCCAAACACAGCACGCTGCACATGGCACAGACCCCCTTGCTCCCTGTTGGTCCCGGGAAGGCTGAAGCTGCAGTTCGCATCATTCTTGGGCGTGGAGCTGACCTCGAAGAACGAATTCGAAGAAAACAGGAGGAGGAGCAGGCACGCCGCCGCGCCCAGCGCCCATTGGCCGGCCGCAGAAACTTTGGTTTTTGGGGTCATGTTCCCAGAAGGCCTGCCCTCCCCCCACCCCCTCTTTTTTTTCCCTCCCCACCCACCTCACGAGGTGTTGGCCAATCGCTCAGGCAGGCAATAAAGTGGCTGCCAGCCCGCAGGGCTCCCAGCAGGGAGGTGTCATCCCCAGCAGGCGAAGGCCGGAGCTTGGACACCCAGAATGCGGGCACGGCTTACTAGGAGGGCGCTGCTCAGTAAGTACTTCCTTCCTCCCCACCGGTACCCACTTGCTGTGCTCACGGGTGCCAGCGGGGATCAGGAGTACCCTCTGTCCTCTGGGAACTGGGGAGGCTGGGCACTGGGCAGAAGGATGCTGAGACAGAGCCAGGAGGTCAGGCAAAGAGAGGAGTCCACTGAGAACACAGCATCTTCACAGGGTGGAGAAGGGGTATTCCCAGAGGGCTTCCAGGGGGAGGCGATATAGAGGCGACTCTGAGAGCATGAGAAAAGGAGATAGATTGGGGGAGAGGCTGGGGAAGCAAGGGGGAGATGGGAGCTGTGCTGCTCAGAGGAGGAAGCTGCAGAAGCCGAGCATAAAAATGGTGCAATGTCTGGAGGGGCCTCCTTCTCGCCTCGATTCGCGGGGTCTGGGATGAATAGACACAGTCAGCCGGGCCCGGGGGCCCTGGAGCCCACACAATCACACAGCACACATAGCCACACCCACAGGGTGACACACGTACAGAGCCATGTGACATCATTCAGGGCCCTCAATCTCACCAACCTGGGAACCCCTACATACAGCCCGGAACCTCCACGGTGCATGGGGCACGACTGCTCCCTTGAGTCTCACACAGACCTGGACACACACCAAGCAGACACCTGGGTCCCACATGCACACTCACACAGGCAGCAGATACCTGGGGAGGCGTCGAGGGGTGCCCTGTGGTCGCTGTTCCTGGGCGCCCAGCCCCTCCACCCTCCCCAGCAGCGTCTTCCCCAAGGGCCCGAACGTTTCTTAGGAAGGGAACATGGTGTCACTGCCTTCCGGGCCATTGCACCACAGGCCCCTTCCGACCACGTGGCTGCTGGTGGGTGTGGGGAGGCAGGCGAGCGGTAACTGTGCCCAGCCCCCGGAACATTCTGACGGGCTCTCAGCATCACTGGTGATCTTGACAGGAGTGGCCACTTATGGAGAGAGGAGGGAGGCTCAAGGTCGGGAGAAAGGCTGGCCTTGTGACCTAGGCAACCCTTCTTCGGTGCCTTGGTTTTCCTGTCGGTAAAATGGGGACATGGACTGGATGGTCTCGCACATCCTTCCCAGATGGAACCTTGGATGGTTTCTCAGACAGCTCAGGGCACCAGACTGCTCTCAGGCTACCCACCCTGAAGCCCTCTCAAGCACACCTGCACGGAGGGCCAGGGTCTGTCACAGGGGCCCAGGGCCCTGGGATGGTAGCTACCCCTTAGCCCAGAGGTCTTGCAGAGTTCCGCCTGGGCCACCCCATGTCAGCTCTTGAGGCTGGCAGCACTGGCAGGCACAGGAACTCCAGCCAGGCCCCACAACCTCCCCTCCAAGGCCTACTTGGCGAAGCACAGATGCTTTTTCAGGTGCTGGACAGTAACTCACTGGACAGGTGGCAGTGGCCCCAGCAGGTGCTCCTGTGTACATACAGTGCCCGGTCCCCACCCTTCACGGCACAAAGCCTGAGATGTTAGGCCATGCCCTCCAAGGCCCTCTTGAGTGCCCTCCCCTCCGAAAGCCGCCCACCTGTGGTTTCCTTACCAAGTCATGTGACACCCCCTTTCTCTGCCCCAGGTCTGGTCCTCAGACTCCTGTTCCTGAACCCAGTGGCCACGGGCAGCTGCTCGGGCGATGACCAAGAGCTCCTCAAACAGCTCCAGCATCAGGCGGACTTCTTGCAGGACACCAGCACGCTCCTGGACCCCTATGTAAGCACCTGGCTGCTGACGGCATCTGACTTCGGGGCAGGAGTGAGTCCCAGAGAGGATCAGGCCCAATCTTCACTCATTCAAGCCCCGCTCAGTATAGGGGTGGGGTGGGTGGGGAAACAGTCCTTTGTTATTCTAGGACTACCTCGAACATCCCAGGCTTATCCCTGAGACAATATATGTTCCCTAGCTCAGTGGGCCTGGAGTGTGAACCCCAACTCTGTTGCCTCATTCTTTTGTTTGTCCAGCATGCTTATTACACACCTACCACGGGCCTTGTTCTGGGCCCTGGAGATGCAACAGTGAACAAAACCGAGTCCTGCCCTCCTGAAGCTCAGGGTCGCCTTCCTACTGACATTCCCCATGTCACAATCACCGCCTGTGTGGTCACCCCCACCAGCCCCCGCCTCCCTTCAACCCTGCCTGCAGTGACCGGGGAGTCCTCTCCGCTCTTGGGCCTCAGTTTCTGTATCTGTACAATGGGCAGATTGGATGAGGGATGGATGAGGTCGAGCATTTCAAGGGCAACCAGAGCAGACTAGTCTCCATGTGTATGTGGTGGAGACTCCAGCATCACTCCTTGACTCTCCTTCCCCCACACCCCCAGATCCGCAGCCAAGGCTTGGACGTGTCTGGACTGAAGGAGCGCTGCCAAGAGCGCCCTGGAGTCTTTCCCAGTGAGGATGCCCTGCAGGCGCTCAGCAGAAGGGGCTTCCTGCAGACCCTCAACGCCAAGCTGAGCCATGTCCTACAGAGACTGACAGCTTTCCAGGAGGACCTCCCCGAAGTCCAGGCCTTGGTGAAAGTGAAGATGTATATCTTTGGGGTCAAGAATAACATCCACTGCCTGGCCCAGCTGCTTCCAGACTCCGCGAAGACAGCTGAACCCACTCAAGCTGGTCCGGGAGCCTCACGGCCGCCCACTACCACCCCAGACACTTTTCAGCGCAAGATAGAGGGCTGTGAGTTCCTGCGTGGCTACCACCGCTTCATGCACTCAGTGGGGCAGGTCTTCTACAAGTGGAGAAAGGGCCCCAGCAGGAGCCCGAGACACAGCTCCCACCAGGCCCTACAAAGGGGGGCTCACGGGATGCAACCCTTCACAAGGGGCAAGGGACTCCTGCCTAGGGGACAGTTGCCCCGGTAGCCTTAGGGCCGCCCCAGCAGGTGCTCCTCAAGATGGTGCCTCCTCGGGGCCTCCAAACCTGCTCCCCGTTTTCTTCCACCTCTCAGAAGTGCACTTTAACGGGTGAGAGCCAAGCAGGCTCCTCTACCTCCTCTCAGGTTGGGGCATAGGATCAGGCCATTGCTCCCCCCAGGCCTGAGTTCCCCAGTCCCAGTGGGGTGGCTGGGTCAGGCCACATGGAGCCAACTTTCCATTGATTCAGGGGTCTGATGACACAGGCTGACTCATGGCCAGACTGACAGCCCCCCCGCTCTGCTCCCCGGAGGCCTGCCGTCCCTTCCTTCCCATGACTTGCAGAGCTGTTGCCCCCAGACTTCCTCCTTTCCGTGGTGGCCTGGTTCCGAGGGGGAGGTCAGTGCCTGAGCTGGCCTCCTATGTCTCATTGCCAGTCTCAGGCCAGACACCTGGACGTCTGAATGACCTCACTTTAAGCAGCTATGACAGGGGCAATGTCCTGGAAGAAGCACTGATCTGGGGGTTCCAAGGGACGGGGGCTCAGGTCTCAGCTTGGCCCCTAATTTGCTGTGGCCTCCGGCAGGTCACTTTATTTCTCTGGACTTCAGTTTTCTCTTTGTGAATCAAGGGAGTTGGGGACTGTGTAAAGCCCTCTTTGCCTGTCAGCGGCTGGGACTCTGTGACATAGGATGGATTTCAAAGTCTTTCCATAAATTGAGACACGGCGTCCAAATGGACACAGGTGCAGACAGTTATTTGCAGATCTCTCAGCGCCTGGAAGCGGTTCTAGCTGCTGATTGCTCCCCCTGGTGGTGCATCATGGAATTTTCTCATGCTGAAACCATTGCCCTCTTGGAGGGTTCCCGGAAGCCGCTGGGCCAATACCTTGGAGGGACATGATTAATTTATCAATTTTTTAAAACCAGTTTTTATCTGTTTTATATTTATAATGCTTATTTATGATGTGTATTTAATGTTATTATTGTGCCAACATATTTAAAATTTGCCTGGTTTCTAAAGCCCCTGTGTCTCACTGTTCCTTGTGGGAGAGTATTTGAGGAGGCTGGCCTCTTGGAGGGGCGGGGGGTGGGGGGAGTCCTTCGGTGGCAAGGTCACAAGCAACTACAACCTGAGGGCTGGGCCGGAGGTCCTTGCCCTATCCAGGAAGGGAAGTCTCATGCCCCAGTCTGACTGTGGGGGCGTCTCAAACACAGACAAGATGTTTGTTGTGTCTGAGTGGGTCTCCCTTGAGACATTGGGGACTAGAATGTTAGGGTTTGGAAGCGCAAGGAGTTAGATGAAGGCTGGAGAGTCTGAGTTGCTCTGGCCCCTGTGAGTGTGTGGCTGGGGTACGTGTGCTGACGTGTGTCACATGAAATGAATAAGATAATAACAGATCTTGCTTCAGACATAGCCTGTGAATTGAAAATGCTCCCTGAAGGGCCCCAGAAAATTGGGCTGCCTCCCAATGCTCAGGGCCCCACCACAGGGGGCACCTACTGGCCGATGGACGATGTGTTGAGGCAGCAGCTATAAAGGAAAAGCTAACAAAAGCAGATGAATTGGACCAGGATCTGTCCCTGGTTACGCCCACTTCCTGGGATTGGGAGCCAAGGTGGGAAAAGGACTTAACATCAGAAGTACAGGAAGTGGGACTCTCTGCAATAGATATGATCCGCCTGGCAAATGAGAAGACGGAGGCTCAGAGAGTTTGAGTCACCTGCCCACGTCCTCAAAACAAATTTATTGCAAGCAAGCACATTTTGAATTCTGGTAGGTTAGATGTGAGGGCAGGAGCATCTTCCTGTTACCCTTCAGCTTCTATAACTGCCAACGATTTCATGAGTCCCTGAGGGCACAGGGCTCCCAGGTGAGGGGGCAGAAAGACAATAGAAAAAAAAGTACTAACAGGAGCATCTGAGACTGTAGTACAAGCTCAGCAAAAATAAAGCCAAGCTATGTATGTAATAGAGAATGAGAGAGTCAGGTGACGTGGGTGGTCAGGATGACGGCTGAAAGAGGTGATGTCCATTCTGCAGCCTGAAGGATGCAGGGGAAGGGGTAGTGCTTCCTGTGGCACAGTTAGTGCAAAGGCTCCGAACATTCAAGGTTCAGAATGATCAAAAAGACTCCAAAAAAGGGAAGCATCTTGCTCAAGATCACAGAGCCAGTTAGCCAGAGAGTTCTAGACTGTCAGCCCCTGACTCCCAACCAACAGTCTTCCTCAGCAGCTGCCCAAAGTATTCCAGGCTATTTGCCAACTACCTAGTAGGGGCTCTCCGCTGCCCTCCACTGGGCTCTCCCTTGTGCTCAAGTTCCTGCCACGCTGGCCACCTTTGGGCTCATGAAATGCCCAGAGCTCCTTCCTCCTACAAAACTTCTGCATATGCTGTTCTCTCTGTCTGGAATGCTGTTCCCTGTCATTTTTGTGAGTACATCCTCAATTACTCTTCCCCAGTGTCCATGGTCTGGGTCCAGTGACTTGATTATTGTTTCTCTCAAAACTGCCCCATCAGGGCCCCTCACTGCTATGGTGAGGTTTGCATTTCTGTTCATCTCCTAGCCTGAAGCTGCCAAGGATGGAGAGTGAATCTGCTTCCCTTTGCTCTGTCCCAGCCCCCAGCACAGCGCCTGCACCCAGTAAGAGCTCAACGAAGAACAAGGCAGAAGGAGCCCTGGAGGAAGTGAAAACACCGAGAAGCGTGCCAGGCAGTCTGGTCCAAACAGGTGCCACCCAGGGGCTGCTAACAGCAAGGGACCTCTTTTCTGCCCTGCCTGAGCATGGGGGTGAGGTGCTTTTCTCAGGCTGGGCTGCTGGGAAGCTGTGGGTGGGAGGTGGCAGACACCGAGAGCCAGGCATGCTCAGGTTCTCAGAGCGGAAGGGGAGCTGGCACTGCGGCAGGTGTGTGGTTGCCCATGGAGAAGGCAGAGGTTGGTCTGTGGAGGAAGAGCTGGGAAGCCCAGGGTTGCTGCCCCCACCCCTTGCTGGGCCCCTCGCTAGCCCCCCCCACTCTGTGGGTAAGCCCCAGGAGAGGGGTCTGGAGCTGGCTTTGAGTTGGAGCAGCACCCACCCTGTAGGAAGCAGATCGAAGGTCTCCAGACTCTGGGGCAGAGGTCTTGGGGATCCCACCTGTGAGGATTTGTCACCTCCATGCTGTATCCTGATAAGACCATAGCTGCAGGTGTCCCCAAACCACCATCTCCAGCTTGGTCCTCTCCCAAGCTCAGATCCACAGACTCAGTAGCCAGGAATACCCGTGGGTACCTCAAAGCCAAACTCACCTCCCAGACCCATACCTTTATGCTTCCTATTTGCCCCCACTCAAATTCCAGAACCATAACCCACCCCTTCTCTTCCCCCAGCCTCTCCTCTCCCTGTTGATCACAAAGACCTACTGTTTCCTCCACACCCCATCTCTGGCACATGCCTCCCATTGCCAGCCAGATCCGTGCTCCCTGGACATGGTCTAAAATCTCACTGCCATGTCTTCAGCTCACAAACCTTCAGTGACTTCCTCCTGTCCTAACGCCCGTGGCATCAGTTCCAAACTCCTCATTGCAGCATGCCGGGCCCCTGCTCTCAGGTCCCACAAACTCCGCCAGCTCATCTCCGCATGCTCAGCCGGCTGGCAACATATCCGGAGGTTCTGACCTCCCCATGCCTGCATTTCCCCCTCCCCACTCCTCCTACCTGCTCCCTCCCAGAGAGTCAGCTCGATTGCCCCCTCCTTCTTGATTCCAGAGGGGCTCGTGGGGCTTCCAGGGGGCTTCGGACAGCTTGCAGGGGGTCATATCTGGCTTCTGCCTCTGGAGTCAGAACAACCTACCTCTGATCATTCCCATTCCCCGCCAGCACCTACTACTGTGAGACTGGGGTTCCCATGACCATGTGCTGTGACAGGCAGCTGGGCGGGGGCTCTAATAATAGCTTTTGTACTACAGAGTGAGCTGATTCCCCCACAAGGCACACTTATCCCAGAGTGCGATACCCTGTGAGCCTGCGAATGGTATAAGCTCCCCACAGTGGCTCATGTGAAGGGCCCAAGCAGCCATGCGCCCCAGGTGAGCTGACACAGGCTAGGAAGGCAAAGAAAGGTCTCCTCCTGCAATTCTGCTACTGCAGTTGACTCAAAGCCAGATTTTCTTTTCCAAGTTTTCAGGGTGACAGTTACAGGCCCTGTCAATGCTGCCTGTTGCCTAGGACAGCAGGCCCAGCGGGCAGGGAACTGCAGGAAAAAGGCAGAGATGGGGTCCTGGCACTTATTGTCTATCTATAAAACAAACTCATGGCCTGTAATGACAGAGCTGGGCCTTCTGCCTCCGTGGCCTTATTGCCTTCACCATCCACAAATTCTAATGTGATTTTTTTCCTTCTTTCTCATGAGATGAGACAGTACTTAAGAGTTAAGCAAAACGAATTCAAACCCTAGTCCCCCTGCCCTTAGGCTGTGTAATTTCCCAAGCTGAGCTTCGGCTGTCCCCTCTGTACAGGGGACTAATGTGGCCCACCTCCCAGGCTGTCTTGGGAGACAGCAAACACAGTCAGCGCTGTGTCAGTCAGTGCTGTCATAAGCTGTCACTAAGCAGGTGCATAAGCAATGTTCGCTTTATTTTCTCTCTCATTTTTCTTTTTTCTTGGCTTTCTTTCTTCACAGCTCTTTGTCCCTGTCACCCTGCCTGCCCCCCCGCCACTCTGCCACTCCACACCAGGCCCAGGACTCGGAGCTCCCACAGAACTATTTTTCCACAGTGAGGGAAGGGTCACAGTCCATGGTCAGAGTGGGGAGGCCCTCGGAAAGGCCAGCCTCACTCCTTGCTTCCTGGGGCGTCCCCAAGGGCTGGGCTCTGGGAGGGGCGAAGGTCTCTGAGGGAGGGGGTTGGGCAGGTGGGGCTCTGGAGCCTGTGGAGAAGGGCAGATCAGACGGGCCAGGTGGCTCCAGGGCTCTGAGGTGGGTGCCAAGGCAGGGAGTGGTGATTTGGGAGGGCACTGTGTTCAGGGTGGTGACTGCAGCCCTGTGACTCTTCTGGGGACAGGGACGAGGGAGCATGGCCCTGGTGCACACGGCCTGCGGCAGGTCTGAGTCAAAATACCTAAGGCTGACCCTGGCCGGTCATGCGGAGGGCTGCCCAGTCATCGCCTTATGCCGGCCTGGGTCACCCAGAAGGGCTGGGCGTGGCCCAGTCAGCTGTGACTCAGGTCCCAGCAGCCTCGCCACACAGCACCAGGCAGGGGTGTGGGGCACAGGGACGCCCCCTCCCCACCCCTGGCTCCGCTTCTCCCCTCAGCTACCCTGAAGACTCTGCTCCACCTGTGTCAGGTGCAGTCTGGCCAGGAATCTGGGGTTCTCTGCCCCTGTTGCCCCTAGCCCCTCATCTGGGGGGCGGGGTATAAGTAGGGGGAGCCTAAGAGCCACACGGCCCTTGACGGGAAGTCAA